CGGGGGGGGGGGGGGGCTGGCCCACAGCCAGGGGGTGCAGGTGAGTCGCCCCCTCCTGCGGGGTCCCAGGAGCTTCAGGCTCGTCCAGCGGGAATGAGGTCCGGGTTCCCGTTTGAGCCCCGGCTGGAGCGGGCCCTCTTCTCTAACCGGTGGAGCAGGATGTGTCTCAGCTCCCCCTTCACCCCAACTCTGAGTCACCTGCATCCGGCGCCCTCGGTCACCTGAGGCTCAGGTGAGCTGCGAATGAGCTCTTCCTAGTACAGGGTGAGGTTTTAAATCATTGATTCTCACCTCACGGGAATGACTTAGAAAGGGGAGGGTCTGCAAGTGCCCCCTAAGGAAAACAGATTAGAACGAAGACCCGAGACAAAGGGATAATTAATTTTGTTGTATTTGCCCACCTACGTGCTATTAGAGTTGACATTCTAGAAACATGACCCTCAGAAGAGAAGTCTTCATTGCTGAAAATGGTATATCGAGCCAGAGACAAAAATAATTAAATAGCAAAGTGTATTTCTCAGAAATGCAAAGGTCCTACTATGACCCGAACGTGGCCTGTGCAACGTCCTGTCTCAGAACCTCCTGACTGTGTGCAGGCCTGTGCGGAGCTCCGTGGAGCCCATGTGAATGACAGTCACAGACCCTCCTGACTGTGTGCAGGTCTGTGGTGGGATCTGTGGAGCCCACATGACAGTCACAGACCCTCCTGACTGTGTGCAGGCCTGTGCGGAGTTCCGTGGAGCCCACATGACAGTCACAGAACCTCCTGACTGTGTGCAGGTCTGTGCGGAGCTCCGTGGAGCCCACATGGCGGACAGTCACAGAACCTCCTGTGTGCAGCCCTGTGCGGAGCTCCGTGGAGCCCACATGGCGGACAGTCACAGAACCTCCTGTGTGCAGCCCTGTGCGGAGCTCCGTGGAGCCCACATGGCGGACAGTCACAGAACCTCCTGTGTGCAGCCCTGTGCGGAGCTCCGTGGAGCCCACATGGCGGACAGTCACAGAACCTCCTGTGTGCAGCCCTGTGCGGAGCTCCGTGGAGCCCACATGGCGGACAGTCACAGAACCTCCTGACTGTGTGCAGCCCTGTGCGGAGCTCCGTGGAGCCCACATGGCTGACAGTCACAGAACAGCAGCTCACACACCCGCAGTTCCCGCCCGACCTGCAGTTCGGGACCTGATTGGTCAGTTCCGTCACAATAACAATGTTCTAAGGTGACTGGGAACAAAGCCAGGAAGCTACATAAACACGTGCAATTCCTGGGCCATGAATTAAAGCTCCTCACACTGAGGCAGCTCCGAGGGCCACTGATGCCGCCCGACCTCAGCCTCTGACTGGAGAACCCCGGGCCCGCGGCGTGTACTTAATGTGGGCACATGAGCGGGCATGTCTTCCTGGGCATGTTGTTAGCATGTGGCTAGTCAGCACGCAGGCACTTCCGAGGCAGGAGCCTGGGTGAGCGGTTCCCGCAGAACCCCACGTTCTCTGGGGGCGGGTCACACCACCCTTTCTTGGTGACACTACACACGGCAGCACACGTGTGTGTGGCGCAGATGCCCTGGCACAGAGACACGGAGCAGCGAGCGTGACTTACTGAGCGCGGCCTGGACCTTGATGGCGTCCGACTCCTGCGAGTTCTCGCTGGTCCCCACGGCATTCACCGCTTTCACGCGGAACATGTACTGCTCGCCCGTGGTCAGGCCGTGCACCACGAACCTGGGGAAACAGGGGGCGTGGCTGCTGGGCGTGGCCTTTCCCTCCTTCACAAAAACAGGCTGTTTGGGGGTTTGAGAGGGTTTATTTTAGGTTTTAAGTTACTGATTCTTTCTCATCATTGATGTTTCTATCTCTCTCTCTCCCTCCCTCTCTCTGAAATCAATAAAAATATATTATATATATTAAAGACCTCAGCACAGGTGCCTTGCCTGTGGTAGGTGCTCAGTAAATGTACAGCTTATCATTTAAATTATAATTTATAATTCACAAAGCGTCATGTATCTTATGGCGTCTGCAACAGTGTAACCATCTATAAAACCCCTCCGCCAGAGAACTGTGCTCTGAGACACCCTCTGGGTTCTAGCCACGGAGTAAACCCCGTGATTCTCCTCAATTACATCTCATCTTTTCCTAGTCACAGCCTTCCCAAGTATTTTCGTAAAAAATAAAGAAGTTTGAAAAGAATGACAGCTGGACCATAATTGTTAACGTGGCCGCTGTGGACAGCGTGTCCTGGGGACGCCTCACTCACTCGGACTCACTCAGACGCCCCTGCCCGCTCTGTGCGAAGCGAGGGAGAATGGATAGCAGGAGCGGAGATGGAGGTGCCGGCGCCCCCCACTGCCCCCATGGGGAGGCGCCAGGCCCCTGGGATTTGTCCCGATGGCTGGCGAGAGAAGAGACAGCCAGTTATGTGAACAGAGCAATTTTAAACATTCAGAAAATTAAAATGGAAAAATAAAACACCTTTCACATCACGGTTGCTGTTTTAACTCTCCATTCAAGGCAAATCTTAAATGCGGATTAGGTCAGAAAAGGTGGTGCTGGAATTCTTCATCAG